TCATAGGAGCCAGGCACCCAGAGTAGCTGCAGCACAGGAAGTGCCTTCATTGTCCAGGGGACAGTCCCACAGCAGGCAAGTGGAACGGTCAGAGCAAGGCTCTGGTAACAAGCACCATTGACCATCTCAGACAAGGCAAGTGGTGGGTCAGGTTCACGGTCCATCTGAAGCATCAGGAGATGGGACCACAGACAGGGCTGGAGACCAGGCAACGGTGTGGGTCCATCCGGGAGACAGGGTCAAGGTGAGAAGTGGAGACAAGCTATAATGTACATCCAAGGGATCCTTCAGGGAGAGAGGCTACCTGTAGTACAGGTCTGAGGTCCACCCAGGCAGCAGAGGCAGAGATGAGTCTGGAGACAAGCGCTCCTACAGCATAGCTGAGGCGGGGACTAACACCCCTGGGCAAGCTGAAATGGGCCTTGTGAGCCCAGGGGCAGGGTGCAGGGGGAGTCCTCAGGGGAGGCTGGGCAGGGCCATTAGGCTTCAGGGCCCTTAGGGCTTTCAGAGTCTTGTCTTTTATTCTGGACACCAGAAGGGTCTGTTATTCCTAGGGACAGAAAAAGGCTGGAAAGTCTTTTTCTATACATGTACCAGAGCCTGTCTGATTGTAACACTTTTATCTGTTTACCCAGGATATTCACTAGTGAACAGATAATCCCAGGGGCAGAAACGTCATTGCCATGAAACTCGTTGCAGGGACGTTCCTGCACTTGTGCAGTGCAGAAAGGCATTTTAACATCTAGACTGCCACAGGAATTACATAGTACTGTAAACCCCCTCCTCTCTTGCCATGTGCACAAAATCTGGAACAACTATCAGTTTCATCTCGATTAATGCAATAAATTATTTCACTGCTTTCTCATTGTCTAGTATCGCACAGTTCCCACTGCTTCTCTTTCCTTGCCCTGGCTGGATACATTGCCAACAGCATGGGGGTATTAGGAACTGTAAGGTTACAGATTGTATCCCACATACACATGGTGGATTTCAAGGCAGTACATAAATTTGATTTCAAGAGATCCTCATGCTAGTACAAAAATAACTAAAAATTTCTCAGGAGAACATTTGATAATCTTCAGTGGACTATGTAGAAGAGAGTGAATAGAAAACCTCTTTTTTAGAAAACAGCATTGCTGGGGAAGAGTGGCATAGTTTTCTGGATATTGTAATTCCTTTTTTGCTTAGTTTGAGATTCATACTGACACAGGTGCATCTAGAAGAGCTGTGAGAGATTTGAAGTTTTAAGTACTTTGTTTCCTATTTACTTTCAATAGGGGCATAATCAACATATTCTTAAGTGACCAGTTTTTCAAAAAAGCACTGATGTAAAGAAGTATGTAAAGTATATGCTTTATTTATAATATTTAAGGGCATTGTTACTTCTGGGACAAATGCTTATTTTTCTTTAAGTGTAGTTGATGTTTTTAATTGGGTAGATGACTACATGTAGCTTCTGTATCATTGTATTCTGCCTGGAACAGCTGGTCAGGAAAAACTTTCTTCCATGCTTTTTTGTATGATAAACCAAGACATATTTGATGATTGGCTGCTAAAGTAAATACTTGGTTGCTTCTGCTTTATTGGACCGCCTCCTTCCAGTACCTTCTTTTCATTGTTTGCATAGACAAGTGGAAGATGAATTATTTGCATTGCTCCATGTTTTTGCCTGGTGACAATTCCAGTCAATACTTGAAATGAAAGGCAAAAGTACCTCGAGACATCTTTTTGTCTCTTTTTCACCCATTTATATTGGAAGTTGCAGTGCCATTTTGTGTAATCACTATGGTAACTAGCTTGAGTTTGCTTCATATCAGCATCTTTTTTTTTTTTTTTTTTTTGTCTTTCCTTTCAGACAAAGCCTTTTCCAAAATTAATCAGCCAACTTTTCAGCAGTTTTCAAGTTTTTCTAGTTTGGTTCTTTTCTCTTTGACAGTGTGACTGCTGATGGTGAATATTCCACAAATAAGCAGAAGTCTAAACCATACCTTTCAATATGCATGCTGAGACATGCTTATTGTCCTGAATCACCAGTATGACATTATGGCATTTTCTGAGTTGTTAACTGAACCATATTGTAAAGACAATATATACGAGTACATTTCTTTTAAAGACAACTGTTGAATTGAGGTGGACAGAATTAATCCCAGAATCATAGAATCATAGAATAGCTTGGGTTGGAAGGGACCTTAAAGATCATTGAGTTCCAACCCCCCTGCCGTGGGCAGGGACACTCTCCACTAGACCAGGCTGTTCAAAGACTCATCCAGCCTGGCCTTGAACACCCCCAGGGATGGGGCATCCACAGCTTCGCTGGGCAACCTGTTCCAGTGTCTCATCACCCTCACAGTGAAAAATTTCTTCCTAATATCTAATCTAAATCTACCCTCTCTCAGCTCGTAACAATTACTTCTTGTCCTATCACTACAGTCCATGATAAAGAGTGCCTCCCCATCTCTCCTGTAGGCCCCCTTTAGGTACCGGTAGGCTGCTATTAGGACTTCTCGGAGCTTTCTTTTCTCCAGGCTGAACAACCCCAACTCTCTCAGCCTGTCCTCACAGGGGAGGAGCTCCAGCCCTCTGACCATCTTCCTGGATCTCCTCTGGCCTCGCTCCAACGGGTCTGTGTCACACATCTGAACACAGTACTCCAGGTGAGGTCTCACAAGAGCAGAGTAGAGGGGGAGAATCTCCTTCGACCTGCTAATGCTTCTTTTGATGCAGCCCAGAATACGGTTAGCTTTCTAGGCTGAAAGCGCACATTGCTGGCACATGTTGAGCTTTGCATCAACCAACACCCCCAGGTTGTTTTCCTCAGGGCTGCTCTCAATCAATTAATCATTCACATTAGATGTGCTGTAGTTC